CACCCAGGAGTGGCTCCTGTGAGCTCAGTTAGCTTGCCTTGCTCGAAGCTATGCAGTGCAGGCCTGCTTTGAAATTTACTTATCATTGACAAGGAAACTCTTCTATTAGACGTCACTGACTTTCATTTGTGGTCCGATTCCAAGATCACATTACATTGGATTCAAACTGCTCCGCAGTTGATATACAAAGGATAACTAAAAACTGTCATTGGCGACATCTTTTTCTAAAGACAATCCTGCAGTCTCCCTCTATATAGCCTCTACCTCTACAGGTCCTCTATCAGATTACCGCGTTCTACGCCTTCATGATTTTTTTTTAAAACGGGAGTTGACTACTGCGGCCCACTGTACATTAAGGAGAAGCGGTTCCGTAATCGAAATAAGCTCAAGGTCTACGTTAAAGTTTATAGTCGTATTTGAATGATTTCCAAAGCTATCCATTCATATCTTGTTTTTGATCTTGCTACGGAAGCTTTCTTGGCTAGCCTGAATCGTCTTTTTGCTAGGAGGAGGAAAGTCTCTTTGGTTATTTTCTGATAATGGCACGAACTTTGTTGGCACTGACCGTAACTTGCAAGCCTTATTCAAGTCATCCGATCAACAAACCGCTATAAAACAATATTTTGATTCATAATACACAGAGCTCCATGTTTTGGAGGAATTTGATAAGCTGCGGTCAAATCACTCAAGAAACATTTACTCTGTACTGTTGGAAATACATTGTTTACATATGAGCAATTAGAAACCTATATAATTGAGATTGAAGCGATATTGAACTCTCGTCCTTTATCTCCTTTATCCTCGGATCCCAACGACCTTTTTCCTTTAACTAGTGGTCATTTCCTCACTGGTGGTCCATTGACAAGCTGTCTAGAAACACTCCATCTAACCGATTGTCTGCTTGGCAACATACGCAGAAACTAAATCATCACTTTTGGAATCGCTGGCATAAGGAATATTCAAATAACCAACGCATCAACGTTCTGAATCGACTAGCAGGATTCAAGTTGGAGATTTATTTCTGATCCATGAAGACAATCTTTCGTCACTTGTTTCGTCCATTGGGAGAATCACTGCAATTCATCCAGGATAGGACGGCATCGTACTTGAAGTGACTCTCATAACCAAGAATAGCGAGTACAAGCGCTGCACTAAGAAACTTAGCCCTTCACCCTTCAATTAACGGCTCCACTTTATTTCATTGAACCTGGATAGGTCAAGAGTGGAGGCATGCACAACCAACAATTTTTTTTTTATAATTTCATGGTGCTGCAACAGTTTTATTTTGTTGGTATTTTATAATTACTTCCAAAATGCTAATTGATTATATTAGACGAGACGTGAACAAAATACAGTTGTAGGCAATAAAAGTGTTTTATAAATTTGTCATAGAAACGTTTATAAAATAAAATTAAAAATCCGTTATAAAATAGTCATGAAATTATCACAGAAACGTTTTCACAACTAACTTATCGAAAACATTTTTCTATAAAAGTAGATTGTTTTGTAGTAGTTTTATAGTACTTTCCTGAGAGGTTTGTATGCTCTTCATAAAACTATTTCAAGATTATTTTATAACTGCTTCTAACTGTAATGAAATTATTTTAACACAATTTTGTTTTTATTACTATATTGTCACTTTAATGATAATTTCGCAACTATTTCATATTATGTTATATTTACTACAATTCCACAACAATAACTGTTATAAAATGAAATTGCTTCCGTTAATATATATTTGCTATCACCAAGAATGAAATGCAGCATTTAAGAAGCACTAGCTGACATTTAGAGGTCGTGTAATGAAGTATAATTTGTCAAGAGAAATTAAAATTTCTATGTTTTTTATCACCTTTATGCATAGAAATTTTCATTACCCATAACCTAATGCTTCAATTTTGTTCTTGCTGAAAAGAGGAAAAGCTTATTATTGATTTAAATCCGTCGATTTAAGTGGAGCACCATGTATATATACACTCAAATCACTAGCTCAAAACTCCTTCAAAATTCAGCCCTAATTATCGATGGAAGAAGCTTCTTAACCAAAACATCTAATCAGATAATATTCATCCAAACAATATAACAATAGCTTTAAAAGTAGCTCGACTCTGGCGCAATACCACCACTTCTAGAACTAAATGAATCTCAACAGTTTTATAGGGGTAACATAGAAGCTAAAATACGTTAAAACTCTTGCTGTTGATAGCAAATTATTTTATAGAACGACGACAGATTGAAAAGAGAATGCTTAACTTCTTAAGTAATCATAACATACTATGAAAATCCCAATATGGATTCCAAAGCCATAAAAACACAGGCGATGCAATCTTTTCTTTTCTGGAAGATGTATAATAAAGAATCTATTGCGGCAGTATTCTTCAATTTCTCAAAAGCGTTCGACTGCGTGAACTATGAAACACTATTATTTAAATTTCAGTGCTATGGCTTCAGAGGATTGTCATATAACTGGCTTTACAGTTATCTAACAGGCAGGAAGCAGTTAGTAAAACTCCAAGGAAATACATCGCATATTGGGAATAATTCATCAGGTGTACCACAAGGTTCGGTTCTAGGTCCTATCCTTTTTTTGCTTTTTCTGAATGATCTGGTAACCATTGACATTGAAGGAAAGTTTACACTTTTTGCGGATGACACCACGATCCTTTGGTGTGGGGCAAATGAAGATAATTTCAGAGACATCATAATCCTGGATCTCTGTAGGGTTAAACAGTGGTGCGATTCAAACTCCTTATGTTTCAATACAAATAGAACAAACGAAGTTTGCTTCAAACTCAATCTTGACGACTTACTTATAGAAAATCACGCTATATAACAAAACTCACACAAAATTTTTAGGGGGGTATTTATAGATGATAAATTAAAATTTGAGGAGCATATAACAAATTTATGCAAAAAATAGCATCTGGCTGCTATGCAGTTCGAGTTGTTTCTAACGAACTGTAGTTCGCAACTATTACATTCACTATTCGTTCTATAAAAAAGGGCTGGCAGATACATATGTAGGGCAAAATCGCAAGACCACTGCAAACCACTTTTCGTCAGTCAGAAAATTCTTACTGTACCTTGTTTATTCCTTTTAGAAACCGTTTGCTTAATTCACAAAAAATAATGACAGAGGTTACCACACGAGAGGAAGTCGGAATTTGCCTTTGCCAATCCCATAATCAACAAATAAAATATTTCCTTTGATAGATGAGAGCAAGAAAATATACTACCTCCTTCCAATGTGTTATAGGGCGATAGCAAATTTAAAAAAAAATCAGAAAATTGGTTTAAGGAGTACTTCTGCAAAAAGCCCACTATGACTTGAAGGAATATTACGTTGATGTATTTTAACTCTTAGTATTTCAGATGCTTACATATCTGTTTATTTATTTATTATCTGTAATGGTTTATATATTGTTTTATTTATGTGTATTTTTTAAAGTCATAATGATTGTTCACTGTATATCATAATTTAATTATTGAAAAAAAAGTTAACATTGTTGACTTCATAGTTTCACTAGCTTTGTCAATAAGGATTTCTTGACTTTTGTCTGACTCTCAATAGAGTTCATGTAATCAATATTGGAAATTTTCAAAATACATTATTACTGGCTATTTTCCTAAAGTGTTGTATTGTGCTAAGTAAATACAAACTGTTTCTGTTTTTTTTTTATGTCCTATTTTGTTACATATATACATATATTCAGTATCTACTTGAAATTGAATAGTTTTATAGTTTTATATGATTAAGTAGCGATAGCTAATATGTGTAATTTTGTTTGTTTGTTTTTTATTTAATTATTTTAACCAAGCTTTGTCAATAAGATAATAATCTTCAGACAATAAAGCATATTTTGACTTTGACTTTTTTATTTGTGAATTGTAAATCTAAAATTATTAATATTTAGCTTAGGGTTGCCAGCGCATGAATTTTCTTAGCAAAGCAGCTTGGTTTATTGCTTTCTTCATCTTCAAGGTATTGTAAAATAATTCTGTTGTTTAGTTTTGCACCACTCTCATGGGTTTCTCAGTCTGGGTTTCCCAGTTGGTCCTTCCAATGTATGTTTTTCAAATTCCCTTAAGCAGCCCGTATTTCAGGCCTATTTTCACGTAAATTTTTCAAATCCTTTTTTGATCCTTGTGCCCCTTGTCTTAGGAACTACTCCTTATTATAACATTTTCTCACCTACTAGCTCTAACTAGCTAAGTAGAATATATACCATCATCTTGTAAAATTATAAATAAACCATGTCTTTTCTACAGTACAACTTGCCAGTTATTTATCTTATCTATCTTTTCTACAAGCTCTTATATACTTCTTGTGTGTATTGATCATTCATACTGACGATAATTACTAGATGAAGATCCATTCTAATTTCATACTCTACAACTTACGTTTTTACATTCACAAACTTTATTGTCAAAAATATATCACATATAGGTTTATATGAAAGTAGTTATTTCAGACGGGCCTTTTTTTCAGTTTCTGTCTGAAAGTTACACGAATTACACATCTCTGTATGGAGTTTATTTTGAAATTATTTACTTTTCATTTCTTTAGAAGATTTCTACATTTCTTGGTATAAAGATGGAGAAGTAGAAAGCCAAAACCTTCCTGTCCCAAAAATTGATCGAGTGCTTCAAATTGAAATGTTTTACGTTTAACTCGTAAGCATGCAACTACCATACCACACAAAAAACAATGCATCTATGATCTAATACCAGACAGCATCAATTCGATCGTGAATGCAATGTTTGAATTTTTTTATCTTATTTATAATAATTCTCAGAGCAAGAAATGACAATGATAATCCTTGACGTCGAAGACTGGCTCTGCAATCGACCTCCATGCGGAACCTTCGTTTGAAACCTCCCTTCAACATTGATATTCGTGGTTAGAGTTTCTTAATCAATTTCATAGAGTTGATCTTTGTGAAAGGAGTCCCCACATACTGGGATGGTGGAAAAAAAAAACATTTTCAAAAAGTCTTTAATTTACTTAACCAATAATTATTCTGTACAGATACATTCACAAGATGATATTCCATATTCGAGATCTTACATTATCAATCTTATGTTACACCTAAAACTAAATGCAAGCGTACAAAAATAGCCACAGTCCTATGACATGATGATATGACATATTTTGATATGATGTGAAAATTAAGACCTGTCCAAACCAATGTGGTCACGATATAAACAACTGACTAAATAATGTATGAGAGTTATAACGACACTCAAATGAGCTACTATATTGAATTTCGAAATGGGGTCAGATGAGCTGTGGTAACTTTGAAGATCAGCTTGATCTGAAACAGAAACAAACTTTAGTTTTTTGGTGTGTTAAACAATAATTTAACGATGAAGATCTGAACTCGTTTTTTGAAAATTATCTAATAATTGGTAGGTTTTAGTAACGAAATTTCAGATGGATAATATGGATTATTTTCAAATTTAAAATCTATTTGGAAATTCAGAGAATCACCCTGTACAATGTTTGCCTGTTGCTATGCTATGAGGATCCTTTGTTGCAACTGTCGAATTTATGACAATATTGTTTTTTTCACAATTTCAAAGTAACCTCAAATATTTTATTCCTACAGTTTCCTACAATTCCTACAGTTTAGGATTCTGGACAAAGTCTTAAATCAACATATTCCAAAATATTTGAAATTCCGCAGCGACTTTCAGTATGGTTTTCATGAGTAAATATTAACAAACAGTGTTTCATGCGGTTTTTTAATATTCACGCTTGATATTTCCAAAGAATTCGACCAATTGATAGGTAGACGTGGCTTACAAAACAGGTCGTGCACTTCAAGTATGTTGGTGAAACTGAACTATAATAACTCGTAACAAAGAACAAGTTTCATAGACCAGAAGAGTCTAGTGTTTCTCAATATGCTTAAGGGGCAACCACAGAATATGTGAAAACTGCTAGAGACCGGTACATCACACCATGATTTTAGATGCGTTTGTAAGTTACGAAATCGTAAAATATAAAATGAGGTCTATCAACGACCAAAGTTCCATTCCAAATACCCCGTTGTTCACTCACATTAGTTAAAATTACAAATATGAAATACAGTGTATTTCTTTAATGTCCCCCCCTTTTATTTTCTGAACATGTCAACTCAAAAAATTGAAACTTGAAATAATGAAATTAATGCATGAATACTTTATTTTGAAGTGAAATTGACAGAAACTTTCAAAATGGCGACTGGGCGCCATCTGAAAAAAAATGAAATGAAAAGGGGGTCTTGTGACATATCATTTTGAAGTTCTTGACGAATAGTTCACAACCCTAGAATATGGAGTCAATATCTTCACCTATAACAAAATGGCGGAACATTTAATAATTTCCTGAAGACAAACACATTAATATCGATATTTCTAGAAATATTCCTTTTTATCTGCCATATGGCAATTTCAACAACCCGATAAGGTTATTTTTTGTTAATAAAAACGCCAAAAAATGTCAGTACGGCAATAAACATCATTGTTCAGTTGAAAGTTAGAATATTCTCATTTAGTTGAGTCGAGGGAACTTGTATCAAAATTCACAACTACCGGTAGTGTACATAACAAAAACCTCTCAGGTCATCCGTCCATTCCGGAAGAACGGCAAGTGCAAATAATTGGTGAGATAGTAGTAAATCCTGAACAGTCTATTTATTCCGTCGCGAATATTTGTGAGGTGTCTCCTTCTACTGTGTGGAGACTTTTGAAGAGGAATAGGTATCATCCATACAAAATTAAAATGGTACACCAATAAACTGAAGAACACCCTGATCAAAGAACAGAATTTTGCGAAATCATGATGGAAACTATTGCAAGGCATCCTATTTATCTTAACAAGTGAAAATGACAAATGAAACTTTCAAGATGGCGACTGGGCGCCATATGGGAAAAAATTTAAATGGAAAGTGGGGTCTTGTGACACATCATTTTGAAGCTCCTGACGAATACTCCACAACCCTTGAATATGAAGTCAATATCTTCATCAACTACAAATTGGCGGAACATTTAATAATATCCTGAAGACAAACACATTGATATCGATATTTACAGAAATATTCCTTTTTATCTGCCATTCCAAAAACCCGATAAGGTTTGTTAAGTTATTTTTTGTTTATAAAAAAGACAAAAATTGTCAGTACGACAATGAACACCATTGTTCAGTTAGAATATTCTCATTTAGTTTTCGGTGCAAATAATTGTTGAGATGGCAGTACATCCTAAACAGTCTACCTATTCATTCCGTCGCGAATGTTTGTGAGATGTCTCCTTCTACTATGTGGAGACTTTCGAAGAGGAATAGGTATAATCTATATAAAATTAAAATGGTACACCAATTAACTGAAGATGACCTGATCGAAGAACAGAATTCTGCGAAATCATGACGGAAACCATTGCAAGGCATCCAACCTATCTCCACAATATTTGTTTTAGTGACGAATGTACATTTTTTTATACGGCAATGTTCACAGACAAAATTGCCGTAATTGGAGTGATACCGACCCTCACGTTTTCCGGGAAACAAATACCCAATATCAAGAAAAAAATAACGTTTTGGGCAAGAATATTGGGAAACCATATTGTAGGACCTCTATTTATTGATCAAAATTTAACAGGGGAACTGTTATGCTGGAAACTACTGCTGACCCTCTCATTACTGAAATCGTCGAAGCGAATCCTAATGAATATGATATGGATATTGTGAGGTGCTGGTTATCCAGTTGAACGGTCAGTTGAAAAATTCGTAAACTGATCTGTGGTACAAATTCCTAACGAAAATGGTTTGAGAAATACGTCAAAAGCAGTGATTTCATCACGACGGGGAAAATGTTGTTGTTTTTGGTTGATTTTGTTCGCTTTCTTGTGTCTATCAATGAATTTTGTTCACTTTGTACGTTCAAATATTTTCTCTTGATATGTTCATATTAGGTTTATTCGAAAGTTTTGACCATTTTTGTGAGTCTACTTCGAACTGTAATATCTCAGTGGAAACTTATTTGATTCAAACGAAATAGGCGCCATTTGAATCTGGACTTTTGCTAACGGATGATGAGTCGAATAATTCCGTCAACATGAAAATTATATGCTCGGGATTCGATGAAGTCTAGTTGCCTGATCCTGATTGACGAAGCTTCTACCGGTGAGAAAGTTATCGAAGTGCTTGGAAAGATGGTAGTGTATTGGCGAGTGGTCTGAGGAGTATCGTGTATGAGGCAGAACTTCGTATCTCAACTGTTTTTTTCCGATGCTGATTTATGAAACGTGCGGATAAGCGTTGTCGTGGGCAGGTTCGGACCACTTCTATTGACCAGTGCCGGCCACTGCTGATGCATTTTCAGTAAATTTCATCGACTTCTTCACGACAGGAATCTGCTGTGATAGTTTGGCCTGGTTGTAGCAAGTGAATCACACTCGCCGCTGACCACCATACCACAGTGAAAATCAACCAGTAAGTCCACTCTCACTACTTTCATTCATGAACTCACAAAGTTGTCGGTGACCTCGAAACGAAGTGCAGAGCCAATTTCTTTCTTTCACCATAGGCGTGTGTTCGTATAAAAATTTTAGGATATTATAGAAGATTTGGTAGTAAGTTACTTATTCCGTACTACAAAAACTAAAATCAATAATAACAACAGCAAATAAACTAAACACAATATCAATTTCTGACCGTTTATTATAATTAATCCGATGCCCGTGGTACCGTCAAATCGTTCGATACTACAGCACTGGACGCCTTGGATGAGAATCTCATCCTAAGAGCGGTTGAAGGTCTCCGGCAACTCGGGCGGATCACGTGGTAAAAGAGCCTACTGGTAGTATTATTCTACTGTGACTATACACTGATCATGGTCTTTTTTGGTGGGTTTTTCCTTTGTAATGTTCCTGAGTGGCTCACCGGTGTTCTAAACGTCTACTGTTATTATACAGGATGTAACTAAATAATTGTAATACATTCAAGGAGGTGATTTCTCATTGAAAAAAAGATAGGATCTTTCATATAAAGGAATTTCATTGGAGCATCCCTTGTTAAGATACAGCCCCTTAAAGGGGGTACATAAAATATGTATAACAATTTTTTTCACAAGCACTAAAGAAGTTACAATATTGAAATTGACCTGATGTTTTGTACTACCAAAAAGACACTTAGCCAGAAATTTATTTGGTTTACCCCATGGTTGTAAGGGGTGGAAAACGCAACCCCTAAAATTTATTTCCAATGTGACTTTTTGTTTTATTATTTGTTTACCATTTAAAAATTCATTTCTGATAGCCTGTTTCATTGTAAACAAAAAATGTCTCTTGGTTTTTTTGACCAAAATAAACCAGTTCGCAGCAAAAAATCATTTTACGAACAACTACAGAGATACATCGTCTAAATGCGAAAATACAAAACTAATCTATCTAGTAGGTCGCTTTCAGCGATAGTGACAATTGAATTGGTATGACGCTGTCAGTTTGTGAATTTTCGAAATAGAATTGATACGAATTGTGTGTTGTTGTTCTGTTCTTAATTTGTTACTTTAATAATTCACTTGTCATTAAAATGGCATACACAAATGAGAAAATGGCTGATATGCATTACGTTTACGGTCTGTCGCAGGGGAATGAGTAAGAAGCTTCTAAAAGATATGCCGAAATGTATCCTCAACGGCAGCATCCTTCACATAGAATATTTGCTCGACTTCATCAACGATTACGAGAATATGGTTCATTCGACAAAAGAACGCAGGATTGTGTCGCCTTCGAGAAGTACGAACACCACAGCTTGAGGAAGCAGTACCTAATTTGATTGAAGAACAACCTACTATCAGTACTAAAAAGATTGCTTCCCAGCTAAATGTTGATCATACGACGGTATTTCGAATTTTAAAGAAACAACTCTTATACCCTCACCATCTGCAACGAGTACAGGTACTGTTACCGCGAGGCTTTCCGAACCGTCTTGAATTTTGCAATTGGATGCTGGAAATGATTAGAAGAAATTGTGACTTTCTGAAGACGATAGAATTCACAGACGAATGCAGTTTTTCATAGGACAAGATTATTAATTTTCATAATTATCACATATGGGCTGATGAAAACCCTCACGCTATCGTCGAAACTAACCATCAAGAACAGTTTTCTCTTAACCTGTGGCTCAAAGTTATTGGGGATGATTTAATTGGGCCTCATTTTCTATCTCCTCGATTGAATGGTGAGGCATACGTTCAATTTTTAAGAGAAGTGCATCCAGTATTGCTGAAGGAAGTTCCTTTGGGCGTCAGAAGGGATATGTTTTTCATGCATAATGAGGCTCACGCCCATTTAAGTCAAGTAGCACGCCAGCATTTAACTGAAACATATGCAAATCAGTGGATAGGTTGAGGAGGACCACAGAACTGGCCCGCTCGATCCCCGGATCTTAATCCTCTCGATTTCTCTATTTGGGGCCATTTACAGCATTTGGTTTATTGTACTCCTGTTCGTGGCTCAATGCGCCGACGTCTAGACGCATGTGTAATGTCTGAAGGTAGACATATTGAACATTTACTATGATTTCTACATGTTGTGTGTTTTGTTAATAATAAATTAGTTTTGTTTATTACCCTTCAATCGTTTAATGCAGGTACTAACTACAAAATAACAATAAATCCAGTTCGCATTTATGACGATGTATCTCTGTAGTTGTTCGTAAAATAATTTTTTGCTGCGAACTGGTTCATTTTGGGCAAAAAACCCAAGATACATTTTTTGTTAAGAATGAAACAGGCTATCGGAAATACATTTTTGAATGGTAAACAAATGATAAGACAAAAAGGTACATTGGAAATAAATTTTAGGGGTTGCGTTTTCCACCTCTTACAACCATGGGGTAAACCGAATAAATTACTGGCTAAGTGTCTTTTTGGTAGTACAAAACGTCAGGTTGATTTCAATATTGTACCTTTTTCAGTGTTTGTGAAAAAAATTGTTATACAAATTTTATGTTACTCCTTTAAGGGGCTGTACCTTAATAAGAGATGCTCCAATGAAGTTTCTTTATATGAAAGATCCTATCTTTTTTTCGATGAGGAATCACCTCCTTGAATGTTTTATACTTATTCAGTTACACCCTGTAGAAGATCCACTTTTCATTACATGTGACTATCCGAACCAAAAAAGGATATTTTTGGTTACGCCAAAGCAAAGAAAAACAGACCTTGAAACGTGACATTTTCTGTCGATCGTTCAAATCGTGGGACACCCATTTCTCGAGCTTTTCGACCTTCGCAATACGTTTCAAACCATCAAAAACCGCATGGGAGCTGACGCCCAGTTTTCCGCCATCCTACGCACCGTTTGTAATGGGTCAGTCTCCACCAGGGTCCTCAAATCCTCCGTTCTGGATTACTGTAGCTCATCTTCGAAGTTTATCTTCGGGGCTGAAATCTCCGGAACCAAATTTCGCGAAACATCGTCGAACTTTTCAAATGCTTGGTTGATTTTTCTGCCTGTTTCGGCAGCGCTTTGGTTCAACTCCAATTCGTGAAGAAAAATTGACCGAAAATCGCTAACGAGTTAAGAAATTAAAATTTGAAAAAAAATCAACAGCATCAATGTATAGAGTACAAAATTCTTTATCGATCAGTATCTACCACGACACAGTAAAAAAATGTTAATTGAAATATGGAGCTACAAAATACATGACATTAAAACGGACAAAACATTTGTAACAACCCAAATGAAAATATGATTTCGACATCACAATGATTGGAAGAGTTGAAAAATAAATAAATATTGACAGAAATTCACAGTTGGACTGGCTAGTCCGAATAATGGTAGTGAAAATATAGATACCTTTCGTACCTGCTTCCAGACCGATTCTTCTTGAAGTGTCGTTGAGGAGTTTTTTCATGTTTTCTTCTCGAGTACCAGAAATCTTTTCATCGTAAGCTGAAAACAGATAAATATGTGATTGGCCGATACTTGATGAAAATGCATAACATTTCAGTAACACCTCATTGCAAGATTTTCACTGGACAGTTTCAACAGATAGTATTTTCTATAGCAATGTGCAATATATGAAAGTCACATATAATGAAGAGATGTGACGAAAATTTCATAATCCCGTTGAATATGTTTATAAAGGGTTTCCCGTGGATAAACTTTCCAACAATATTCGTTTTTTTATTAACTCATTTCCTGATTCAGTCACGAATCATAGATTTTGGTATGAACACAGCTGCTTCAGAGATTATATATAGGGTAGATAAACTGTATTTAGCAAATACATCACTTTCTCATCTCCTGCGAAGAGGAAGACCAATCTTCCTCTTGAAGATGATCACTTGGTGATCGAAACACGTGTCGAGGTGTTGAAATAACAGTCTGGTATTGGGATAAAACTTCAGTAATATTCATAAGGAGTCATTCGGTGCTAAGTCAGGACTATACGGCGGATGACTCATCAAATTGATGTTGTGGGTGCTCAAAAATGCAGTTGTTTGAGCCGATGTGTGAGAGCTCGCATTGTTGTGGTGGAGAGTGATCCGCCTTCGGTGGTTGGTTTTCCTGATTTCTTGGAAGACAACTGGCGAACAAATGGTTGTGTACCACTCAGAATTGACTGTTCTGCGTTATTCTAGTGGTACGGTTGCGACATATCCAGTTTTTCCGAAAAAAACACGCGACCATTTGCTTGGAAGTGCTTCGTGAGCAAACAACTTTTGTTGGATTTGGCTCGTCTTGAAACACCCATACAGTCGACTGCTGTTTACTTTCGGGCTCATACTCGTAAATCCACGATTCATCACCTGTTATGATGTCGTATACGTGTTTCGAAGAACCGCGATCGTATTTTTTGAGCATTTCTTTCGACCAATCGACACGAGGCTTTTTTTAGCGATTGACAAATTGTGTGGGATCCAACGCAAACAAAGTTTTTTGACAGTGAAATGTCTATTTTGAATGTGAAATGTTTATGCAATATTGAATGTATGCTGGTCACACTAATGCCTAAGGTTGTCTCAATCTCACGATAGGTCACATGACGATCTTGCAATATCAGTTCGCGCACATCATCAATGGTTTTCGAAACAACAACTGATTTTGGACGACCTTCACGAAATTCATTTTGGAGTGAACTACGACCACGAATGAATTCACCATGTCATCGATAAACACTGGTCATTGATGGAGCTTCATCGCCAAAAATTGAATTAAGTTCATCCATGCAATGTTGCTGAGTTAATTCAGGTTGAAAGTTGTGAAAAATAATCGCACGTTGAAAGTTGTGAAAAATAATCGCATGAAAATGTTTACGATTTGATTCCTTTTTGGGCCGAGATGAATCTTTTAAGTTACTGTAAACGATACAAATAGCGCGCGTATGTCAAAATGTTCTGAGTACGTATAAGCTCAAAAATGTCCAACTTAATAACGATAAAGGTGTCAGTTGCCAGATTGCAACACTAGGGTTGCCAAATCCCGAAACATAAAAGGCAACCTATCGTACTACACCAAACAGTGTATCACAAGTTGTCGATGGAAATTTAAGTTAGTAGTGGGCTTAGAGGATTGCCCATTATGAGGCCTTTTTTGTTGTTATACAGGCTGATTCACGGTGGATGGCACATTAGACGTTTCTGGCGAACCAGACAACGGATCACTTTGAAAATTCAACAGAGGGCATATTCGGACATTCTCTAGCCAACTAAAATATTTTCGACAATGCGGTGTTGCCGCTTCTATTAGAAAGCAGTAGCAACTTTGATTTTTCAAATGGAACACTCTGTATATAATATTATTTTTGGAATCTCCAACAATTGCCCGACAACTTTTCTTGATATTTCCCTATACCTATCTGTTACCGTTTTCGAAATAAAAATTAATTTCAATTTTTTTCTTCGAA